CCGGAAGCAATATTGCAATGTCCAATATTGCCTTTTATTGAAGAAATAGCACAATATTGTGTTTTTCTTTTTGTTGAGGGGGTAAGTTCATTGAATGCTTTCGTAAGACCTTTAATTTCCATTTGATCACCTATTCTAGTTGCTGTTCCATGAGCTTCGATTACACAAATATCAGTAGGAGTAATTTTTGCAGCTTGAATAGCCTTTTTAATTGCATCACATTGTCCATCAACACTAGGCGACATAAAACTGAGTTTGTTGGCTCCATCATTATTAAATGCGACCGATTTAAGAATTGCGGAAATAGGATTTCTATCTCTAATAGCGCTTGACATTTTTTTCAAAACGAGAGCTGTAACTGAATTACCAGTAACTGTACCATGAGAAAGATGATCGAATGGACGGCACATTCCATCGTTAGAATAAATGAATCCAGGTTGATATAAATATCCAGTTTGAGGTAAAAGAATACAAGCGCCAGCAACAATTGCAACATCACAATCACCACATTTAAGACTGTTTAATGCGGTTTTTAATGCTGTTGAAGAGCTGGAACATGTAGAATTAACTGAATAAGATGGACCTGTAAGATTCAAATGATATGAAACTCTTGTTGCTACACTTCCGATAGAAACACCAAGAATATTTCTATGACGTATAGCTGGGTCAAGTTTAGCATAATCCATAGATGTGTTATTATATGTACTGTCCACAACACCGGCGAATACACCAATTCGACCTTTTTCTTTTTCAGGATCAATTCCAGCTTCATCTAAAGCTTGTACAGACAATTCCAATAATAAACGTTGTTGAGGACACATAGACATGGCTTCTTTAGTAGTAATGTTAAAGTATGGGGCATCAAATTTATCAATGTCAGCAAGAACGCCTAATCTTCTTACATAACTAGGATCATTTCGCATATTCATGGGTACATGTAAATCATCAAGTTCTTCATCAGTAAATGTATGAATTCCGTGTTTTCCTGTTAAGATCAAATCCCAAAGTTCATCAACTGATCTAGCACCAGGGAAGTAACCAGTCATTGCAATGATTGCTATTTCGTCGTCATCAGTATTTTTTTCATCAATAATTGGTTCACTAATATTCTCTTGAACAGTTTCAGAACTTGAAGTTTCAACAGGAGTGAGAAGATTTGCCATAGCTCTAATCGTCGGATTTTGTATAAGATCCATAAGATCAATTTTTGGAGCAGATGGAATTTGTTGAATTTTTTTATGTAATTGTACCAATAATAAAGAATGACCACCCAAATCAAAGAAAGTGGTATCAATATCGGGTTTAGCTTTTAATCCAATAAGTTCTTGCCATAAAGTTTGTAAATGAGCTACTATAGTAGACCAATTCTTTAAAACACCTGAAGCAGTAGCTTTCTTTTGTGGTGGTTGAGGTGGTTGAGGTTTTGAATTTGATAGTTTTTCAGCAGTTGATTTTTCAAGTAATGTAGGCATCATTTTTTTAACTTCAGCATGATCAATCTTTCCATTATGAGTACGAGGTAATTCATCAACAGGAACGATTACTGGAACTTGATGTTTTGGCATTACTTTATATAATTTAGCGGTAACAGCATCACGATCTAAATTCTTTGGTGTAATAAAAGCTACCAAAGTTTGTCGTGCTTCATGAACTTGAACGGAAACTAAAGAAATTTCTGGACAAGTACTACTCATCACAGTTTCAACTTCAGGAAGTTCAATACGGAATCCACGTAATTTTGTTTGCCTATCAATTCTTCCTAAGAATATAACTCTACCATCTTCAAGTATACGACCTCTATCACCAGTTCGATAAATACGTTTTTCTAATTGAGGATGATAGATGAATCTTTCCTTTGTAAGATCATCACGATTTAGATATCCACGAGCCAAACAGACACCACCAATACATATTTCACCTTCACCATCAACCAATTCTTGAGATTCCGGATCACAAATATAAATTTCCGCTTGTTGACGTGGAGTACCAATTAAAGAACCGAAAGAGACGGGATTATTTTCAGCGACAATATCATAATTAGTAGCGACAATACTTGCTTCAGTAGGACCATAACAATTAAAGAATACTTCAACTTTTGATTTCCAAGTTTTAATTAAATTTGAAGAAACGACTTCACCACCAACTTCAACCCATTTCAAAGTCGGACCACAATCATCAGGTGATATGGTAGATAAAGCACTTGGAACGACGGCTATAGCTTCAATTTCATTAAGTTTAATCATATCAGTTAAATAATTTCCAATTAATAATTTAGGATTTTTAGCGAAACAAACAGTAGCACCACGAACGAGACCAATAGCCCAACTCATTAATGAAGCATCAAAAGCGAAAGAGAAAGCTTGTAAAATTTTAACACCACCACCTTGACGATTAAAATGATCATATCTAGGATCAGTTAAAAGGGTTGTAACACTTTGATGTTCAACCAAAACACCTTTTGGTTTTCCAGTTGTTCCCGAAGTATAAATCATATAACAAAGATTTCCAGCATCATTTTGAGGTTTTAAAGCAGAAATGGATAACTTTGAGATATTTGCTTTACTTGTATGAATAACTTGACCAGGATAATTAGTATACCAAACATCATCTTCATCATCAGTAATTAAGAACATAGCATTAGAATCTTTAAGAATAAATTCTTTTCTTGCAGCAGGATATTCTTTATCCACAGGAACGTAAGCACCACCAGCTTTAAGAATACCAATTAACCAAGGAACTATATACATATCTTGATTCATATGAACAATGACAAAAGTTTCAGTAGTGACGCCAATTTGAGAAAGATATCTAGCAATTTGATTACTTTTAGTGTCCAATTCATGATAAGTCATTGATAAATTAAGTTCAGCCATATTTAAAGCTAATTGATGAGGAATTTCTTTTGCTTGTTGTTGAATTAATTCATGAATAGTTGAAAATTTAGGAGTAGAAATATCCGGAGCCGAACCATTATTTAATAAAATTTTTGGAACTTTGAAAGATGAATTACTGAAACCTTTCATCATACTCATAACTTCCAAGAATTGAGAAGAGATTTGTTTAATATCAGCAATATCAAAAATTGAAGGATTATAATCAATTACTAATTTAATTGATTCATCAGTATGTTGAACGAAATCGAAAATAAGTTCAATTTCCGATTTAAAGATACACATACGAGAACCATTAGGCATTTTTGGAGTTGAAGCCACTAAAATTTGTTGAATAAGTTGACGTTTTAAAGTTTGTTGAGCGTATTTTGCTAAATTAATAAGAGGATACATTTCATTTTTCTTTGCATCAGTCAACAAAGTTGAAACTTGTTGCATGAAAGCATTTAAACTAATTGGATTTGTGGTATCAATGTTAAGATGAACGGGCATATTATTAACACAATGTCCGATAAGTTTAGATAAAGCATTCTTATCATTACCGATTTGCATACATCTTCCAGTGAAAGGAATCCATAAATTAACATTATTCATGTCAATGAAAGAAGCCATAGTGATCCAAACAGCAGAAAACATAGCTTTGAACCAAGTAACACCAAAAACTTTACCCAAAGATTTTAAATCTTTAACTTTTTTATGAAAAACTTCATAAGAACAAGCATCAGGTTGAGGAGCTAAAGAGCAATAAGTAGCAGCACGTTTTGTTGGCCATTTAATAGTTTTAGTAGAACGAATTTGATGGGACCAAAATTGGGAAAGCTCAGATTGTTCATCATTAGAATTAAGCCAATCATCATGTTTCATAACATAATCATCGAAAGTAAGTTTTGAAGCCGGTAAATTTTTTCCAGCCATTAAAGTTTGAAATTCGTGAATTAAATTAAAATTACCAGCACCATCAACAGCGATATAATGAGAAACGATACAAATTTTATTTTCAGATCTTCCATCAGGATCCATAAAAAGATAGAAACGAATAGGATAATTTTTTTCAAGTTTGAAAGGTTTTTTAATAATTTTTTCTCTTTCATCAGCAGAAATTTCCATAACTTGAACAGCAATTCTTTCGTGATTAGCAGGATATTCCTTTCTATAAGGTTTAGTAGATTTTCCATTATCTTCAGTATCATGAAAAGTACTTCTTAAAAGACCATGCCTAGCAGTTAAAATATTAGCCGCAGCAGTAATTTCACGAATAGAATTGGTGTTTTTAATATTAAGAAAAGAAATCACATTATTATTATGAGATTTTGGATGAGCGCGATAATCGACCCATAAACTTTCTTGAAATTTAGAAGTAGAACGACGAATGTAAGTTTGTTGACTCATTTTTTTTTTTTAAAAGTAATTGTCCTTTAAATTGTTCTAATTGTTCTAATTGTCCTTTTTTTTGTTTTTTTTTTTTTTTTTTTTTTTGTTTGAAATGAAAAAATTGATGAGACAAAAATTATTTATTACAACTAAGTAATGTTCTTGTAATGTTTTTTAAAAGTTTTACTAAAGTTCTTTAAGAATTTTTTAAAGATTAAAAAAATTTTATTATAAACTTGTCATGAAGTTAAAAAAAAATCATTTAAAAAGAAACTTTTAAGAAGATTTTTTTTTCTTTTTCGTTCAGTAACGGATAATTGAAGGGTTTATATATACAACTTTTTTAAAAGGCATAAATTATGAAGTTCACGAGAAATATGACAAACATGAGAAATATGAGAAAAAATTTATTTATAGTACAACAAATAAAATAACTATGAGATTCATAAGATTGTGACCATAATAAAATAAAGTTACCTTTGTTAGATGTTTCTTTTTTTATGTTTTTTTTTTATGTTAACATGTCTAAAAATTCATCGAAGGTTATTTAACTGCGATCTGAATTAGGAAAGAGATAAAAAGAAGATAAGCCACACGTGGTAAGCTAAGCCAGGTTTTGTATAAATTAGTGATTAACTTCATCACATAATGTCACATAACGACAATGCTTAATTAATCCCTTATTTCCCCTTAAAATCTCCTACAGGTAATGATGTAATCCGAATAGCGATAGTTTACGCAGCAGCATGCATAAAGTATATTTTACTTTATTTATTATACAATTGACAACTTTTTTTTTTTTTTTATTATATATTTAACCATTGTTATAAATAAATAATTTCAAAAAATTCAATTTGTCGTATGAAGACTTTTTTTTTTTCATACAAATGTATTCTATTTTTAATTTCAAATGTAGTAATTTTATAAGAACATTATGAAGATTATATAACGATAACTTTACAGTATTAAATGTATTATAATATGATAATAATGCAGATAACTACTTTCCTATATTAGACTAACATCCTAAAATGGTAATTCTGAATGAACCATTTTTGATAGAATGGCTAAAAAATATTAGTTCACAATTTTTTTTTATAGAACGGTATTTAGCATATATGGGTAATATGAACAATATTGCTCCGATGTATGGCGAATGTATGCACAGAATTATAAGTAATGCGCAAAAATGCAAAAAATTTGAAGTGCATTTTTTATTAATGTTTTGTTTATAAGAATTTGTTAATTAAAAATTTATTAATTAGAATTGTAAAAATAAAATATAATTTATTTATTTAATAAATAGGGACTCGAAAAATTTTATTAACACCGATCAATATCAATATCAATATCAATTTTAGCATTAGCAGCCGCAATTATTATTATTTTTTAGATAAACGATCATTTTATTATTAAGGTTAGGTTTGAAACTATCGCTAACGATGAAAAATTTATTAGTGAAACCTACCTACTATTTTTAATCTTACAATGGTTGAGATTACAAAATATGAAAAAATATTACTAAAAATACTAAAAATAGTAACATCATTTACTATTATACCGAAATGTTTTGCTAATTCTATATCGATTTTATGCAAACATGCAATCTACACTAGTAATTATGCATAATGGCGTAATATGTATCTCCGTATCCTAATTTATATTTGATGCAGCTAATTTTGATTTTTGACATGTAATTACAGAATTATGCATAAAAATTTTTTTGGTTATTATGTATTTTAGGTAAATAATTTTTTATATACGTACAAAAAAAATTTTGTCTTCTTATAATACTTTTGTTATCTGATAAATTAAATTTTTTAAAATTTTGAAACTGTCAATCCTTTTTTTGTTTTTGGCAAATTGTAATAAAGGGTTA